ACCACTGCAAAGGAATTTAATGCCCTACAGTGCAGCAAGGTAGGTAGCCTGGGGGCATTTACTCAGACAGGCGGGATTTTGGCTCCTTCCAGCTCGAACTGATCGAGTCCATGGCAGAAAGGCCCATCGACATTTATACCTACTTAGAGTTTCATCTCCCCATCACTTGTTGGGTGTGGGTTGGAGTGGGTGCATGATATGCCTCATTAAGAATTCCATTTGGCAGACATAAAAAGAAAATTTAACAGAACGTCACCTTTGCAGATAAGCATAGACCATCCTGTTGGTAAATTGATAATCTGTGCTCAGTTGATGCCCTGAAAAATGGCACAACACAAAGCAATTTCACCCCCTTCTTTATGAACCATTCAAGCTCACATTGGTAAAGACCAATTTTAAATCATACATTCACCATTTCAAAAACAGTCACGCAATCAAGTTCAGGTCCACACATGACAGGCAAATGACATCTTTAGAGATACTGTTGACTATTGGCTACATAACAAAATTCCTGAAATTTTAACTCAAATCCAGAAACCTGTAATGTTAATTAAACTGCCCATTTCATCAGGCATTGCAAGCAATATGTTAACTCCCATTGACAAGAAATGCTCGGAAGGGAAAAAAAACAAAGTAGCAAAATTACCAGAACGGCATGAGCAAGCGCGAATGGGTTAAAAATAAAAAAAGCAGTTGGTGATTAGAAATTGCAAACCCACCCAATGTATTACTGTTACTCCATCTGTAAAAGCATGAATAACAAGTGCTCTTTTTCAGGAACAATGCCTTCACAGTGAATGAAGTGTGTCCATCTAAGTTCATCTTCATAGTGGATTTTGTTTTCTTTATTCATTCATGGGATGAGGGCATCGCTGGCTAGGCAGCATTTATTGCCCATCCCTAATTGCCCAGTGGGCAGTTAAGAGTCAACCACATTGCTGTGGGTCTGGTGTCACCTGTAGGTCAGACCAGGTAAGGATGGCAGTTTCCTTCCCTAAAGGACATCAGTGAACCAGATGGGTTTCTTCCGACAATCGACAATGGATTCATGGTCATTATTAGATTCTTAATTCCAGATATTTATTGAATTCAGATCTGCTGTGGTGGGATTTGAACCCAGGTCGCCAGAACATTATCTGGGTCTCTGGATTACCGTTCACCGATAATACTACTAGGCCATCACCTCCCCTGTGGGCCTCATGGAGTACCTGTGCCTAAAAGAGATGAAGGTCATTTTTATACCTGGCAACCGTCACATCTATGAAGCAGCCAAAAGATGCTGATGTCATTTTAACTTGGAAACAGCTTTACTGCAGGAAATGCTTTGTGTAAAAAGTAATTGCTGCACACGAAGCTGGCACTGACATTTTCATCCGATGGCAATCCACATGATCCTCAGTATGAAAGGTGCTGAAAGGTGAATCTATTGCTGACTGCTTTCAGCAGGATAAATTTATCACAGCAGCAGAGGGAGCAGCTGAATCCAACTGTCAACAATCCACTGAAACACTGGACAGCCAACACTGAAGCAGAAAACCTGTTTGAAGGCATGTGCTCCATGCTACCATAACCATTTGTCTTGAAACTACATTGAGGAATGTGACAGAATATTACGAGAAGTCTTGCTAGTCCAATCACAATATCAATGCAATCACTGCATCTTTTAACAAACTTCCAGGCATTGAGGCGAGATACGCATTAGGCAGCGATGAGTCGCCTATTAAGGAGAATTACAGGCATTCATGACATTAATAACTGCACATCTCACCTCATCGATATGCAGCTCCTTGTTGTACCACCTGCCGTGGGCAAACATGATGCTAAGAACTATCAACATGAAAATCTAACTGGTACTTGTTGAATTCAGCTCGCTGCTTGCTCCAAAGGATCTCTACATTGGCGTTTGCAACAGCGATTGCCAGAAGTTGTTGCAAGGAATATTGATAGTGGTAGAGGACAAGCCTTGATGGAAGGTGTGTCTAGCAGCAGATACGGAGTATGTGAGAGGTACTGGAGGGAAGATGGTGGAACCTATGCTGCCAAAGTGAAGAAGGTCATTGACCTTCTTCCTATATTGCCATGCACTCCTCCAGATAGCTGCAACTCCACTGACCAGGACAGCAACCATGGATAAGGCTGGCAGGGCCTGGCACTGGAGCCTCCACTGCCACTGCAGCCCTGCACCACCCCACCCAGCAGGACTTTCAGGTTCCTGGCTTAAAAGCAGGGCACCAATTTTCCCTTCTCTCTCATGTCATGGGCAAGTATCAGGAACTGAACAGGGAAGCAATGGATTAATATTGCTATCCAGGTGCACAAGTAGCTTTTATAGAGAGGGATGCCGGTCCATTCTGGGATATCCCAGCAATGGTGAGTGGTAGAATTGGGAATATAATTGGGTGATAGAAGCGTAGTAGAAACACAGTAGGATGTTAATGAGTCGAGTTTGGTAAAATATGAAAAAGATCTCATGAGGCATCATGGTGAGAAGCTTTCATGAAACTCAACCAAACTGACACTTTGCCAAAACAATATAAGATTCAGAAGATAAAAACTGTTGATGGCATGTGGGAAAATATTACTGCCAATGAAAATGAGGAGGGACAATGACTACATTCAGTGGAGGATCCAGCCCTACTATTGTCATGGCATCTAATTATGTGTGATTGCTGATGGAGTTACTCTACCTTGCATGTCATCAAGAATGTTGTGAATTAATGTACTGTCAGCAGGAAGCAAGCAATAATGCTTCAAGCATTTCAAAGCATTACTTACCTCATGTTACACAGGTTAGACAGTGCTCAAGTTTTCAATACATGCAATATAGTTGTTTTGCTGCTTTATTACAGTATTTAATTTTCTTAGGATGTTATTTCATTACAATTACTTAATTCCTGCCACAGGATAATTCAGTTTTTTCTTAAAGAATAATTTGAAGAAAGATTTGTCCAAAAGTCACAGTGGGCATGAATATCACAGTCACCCCACAAGAGACAACTGCAAGGAAATGTTCAAAAGAAAGACAATTAGACATTAAGCAGCTTTCCTAGCCAAACAAAGGTTTATTTTAGTACCAATAAGAATGGCATGAAATTATTAGTTTGAAACTTTATGTCATATTATTAATAAAAATCTAGCATTGTGATACACTTGGAATTCACTCTGACAGTCATTGGAGAGGTTGCAATTGCAATGAATTTCAAACTTTTCTGCAATTAAACTGATGTATCAAAATAAAGTATCAGCACCACTATTGCATTCCCAAAAGACAGCACTTTAAATGACTCTCAAAAGCAGGTTGTTGATTACATGGAGGGCACTGTATTTAACGGTAACCTTCAGGGGGTCCAAACAGAAACAAAATAGCCTGTTGGGTTGAATGGTTGAAAATCATCTTTTTTCTTGTCTTGGAATCTCAAACAAATCTGTTACATCACGATTTTGAGCATTTTCACCAGAAACTGGTCTGAACACTTAATAAATTGAACATTTTGTTAGGCACCAATGTTTATAGAATGCTGCCTGCATTGGCTGAAACCATTGAGCTTTGTCTGATAGTAGGACACATCCATAACTGCAGTTCAAGGTAGACAGATGTAACTTGAAAACACATTAAATACGTACACTACACACATAAACTAGACACAATCAAATGTACAATCTATCTATTCTTTAATTCCAGAAAAAAATCAAGAATCCAATTCCAGTGTACAAAACTGTGTGCGCAGTTAACAACAAAAACAAAGCATGACTGACAAATAACAGTTCAGTAATAACTGTCCAAAAAGAAAACTGTGATAATTACAGAACTGAGTGGAGAACTGAGCAGTATATGCCAAAGCAGTTCAATCTGCAACAGTGCTCTTGGATTATTTGCCAATCTCTGGACTTTGCTGCAATTTTCCCTTTCAGGATGGTTCATTGTCCCTACAGGAACAATATTATGCAAAAAAAGTTAGAACCGCTCTGATAACCTCAAATCTTCTTAATCTTTTCCATGCTGTTCTAATTTTGTAGATCTGCTGCATTCTTATTTTCAAGTTTGCTTCTCCTATTCTGCTATCACCATGGTCTAAACCATTAGATATCTAGTTGTGGTCACTATGAACAATCCTGTGGTCAGAAGATTCCCATACTAATTCCTGTCCTCCCTTGGCCTATACACTAAATAAATATCACACCTATCAGGAGTTAATTTCTGTTAAATGTTAATTTTGCATTGTATTTTAAGAACTGCAGAATTCTAAAATCCAGTGCCTGTTTCTTGGCCTCTGACAGTGATGACAGAACTTAAGACTTTTATAATTGTGTAAGAATTTGTCTTAGTTGACAGTAAAAACAGATATTATAGGATTGACTACCCCTTATATACTGCAGTGAAACTGAATATCAGGCTCCTTGCATAGTCAGCAGCTGGGATGATTTCCTCCTTTTCACCACTACAAAAAAAAAATTTCTACATTAAACAACTTAAAAAAGAGAAACCTAAACACTTCTCTGCCAGCAACGATAAGGTTAAAGGAGGAGGGATGCACAAAAAGCCATGGTCACAGCAAGAATGTTACAAGCTTACAAGACTGCACCATAAAAAAAAACTTGCTCACAAGAGCACTTGTACGTGGGGGGTAAGTAAACAAGTGAAAAAGAATGAACACACTTATAACATTACAGTGAGATTGAATATTTCCTTGAGATAGTAGGAACTGCAGATGCTGGAGAATCTGAGATAACAAGGTGTAGAGGTGGATGAACACAGCAGGCCAAGCAGCATCAGAGGAGCAGGAAAGCTGACGTTTCGGGCTTAGACCTTTCTTCAGAAATGGGGGAGGGGAAGGGGGTTCTGAAATAAATAGAGAGAGAGGGGGAGGTGGATAGAAGATGGATAAAGGAGAAGATAGGTGCAGAGGAGACAGACAGGTCAAAGAGGCGGGGGTGGAACCAGTAAACGTGAGTGTAGATGGGGAGTTAGTGAGGGGATAGGTCAGTCAATATTTCCTTACCTTCTTTTGCTTTTTTATGTTCATTTCTTTCTTTTTGTAGTGATTTTTCTAATCTTGATCTATGTTCATAAACAACTGCAACAAAACACAGTTGAAAGTCAGTTCATCTCTTATTTAATTTTCAGGCATTACTTTTGACCAAAAGGATGTATTGGCACTGGAGGGGGGTGCAAAGGAGGTTCACTAGGTTGATTCTGGAGTTGAGGGGGTTGGCTTGTGAGGAGAGACTGAGTAGATTGGGATTATATTCATTGGAATTCAGAAGATTGAGGGGGGATCTTATAGAAACATATAAAATTATGAAGGGAATAGATAAGATAGAAGTAGAGAGGACATTTCCACTGGCAGGTGAAGCTAGGACAAGAGGGCATAGCCTCAAGATTAGAGGGGGCAGATTTAGGACTGAATTGAGAAGGAATTTCTTCACCCAGAGGGATGTTAATCTATGGAATTCCTTGTCCAGTGAAGTAGTTGACGCTACTTCAGTAAACGTTTTTAAAAAAAGGTAGATTTTTTTTGAACAATAAAGGAATTAAGGGATACGGTGAGAACATGGGTAAGTGGATCTGAGTCCACGAAAAGATCAGCCATGATCTTATTGAACGGCGGAGCAGGCTCAAAGGGCCAGACGGCCTACTCCTGTTCTTATGTTCCCCTCTCGAACAAATAATAGCATACGCAAAAGGTGAAAATAAGCATAAATTATGATTTACCAATGATTAAACATTTTGAAAGGTTACCTTCCTTTGCAAATGCAAAATATTAGAAAACTGACAAATTTAACTGCCCATTTAGGCACTTTAAAAGGAAGTTAATTTAACTTAACTCTGTTTGTTTATTTCACTGTTAGCAATTACATATATTACAACTGTACAGCAATTACAGGAAATCTACTCCCTGTATTTACTGCTGAAGTGACTAATGATTTATTAACAAAGGCTACTTTATAAGAGTCAAAAGCAACACGAATTTCAATTGTGCTCAGTTATTTTAGCAAGTATCTGTTTTTCTTCGCAGAATGCATATGTAGCAGGTGCAACAATTTCTGAATAAAACTACTGAACTGCTATAGCAGCTTAATACCAATATTAAAGCAACCACATTACGGGATTAATGAAAAGCAATTACAACTCATAAAATCAAACAATTTTTTGAACCATACATAGGAGTGTTTGAATAAATCAAAAGGCAGAATTTTCTACTCCCTTAAGTGGTACAGGACATGACGAGAAAATTGGGAAATTACAGCAACAACAAAAATCGGAATCTCAGTGTTGACGAAAATATTACCCATTTTTCCCTTAAAGTTTAGGTGTAGTTTCAGAAACTCACTAATAAACAGCGACTTCCTTATTTCCATACATTTGAATCTCATTATTAGCTCAATTCCCTACAAACAACTTCCAATTCTCCTCTCTTTCCCTGAGAAACTGACAGAGCAAATTCCAAACATGGAAGTCACAGCAGCTACCCGCTAGCAGCCAACCTTTAGCGAAATCTACCTTCATTGAACATCCCTGCTTGGTCCATGGCCACCATTCTCCTCCACCTTTCATCCACGCAAGTCAGCACTGGCAAACCACCAGCCTCACCACGTCATCAATTCTGCTCTTGGTCTGACTCCATACCGATTCAGTTGTTCAACACTTGACTTTGGAGTGGAGTGACACAAGCAACTTACATGCTTCTGTCAGGTCACTTTGCATCTTCCAGATGCATCTTATTGGTCTTCGCTTTATTTCTTAGTACTCACTCATTCAGATCATACTGGGAGGCTGCCAGCCTCTGTGACTTCCATCACTTTCTAGCACAGAAGGCAGCATGTCACAGTTCAGAGCACTGTAACAGTCAAAGGGATGTGGACATGTCATTGAATGGCACTGTTCAATGTCAACGTCATACCTACAGCAAGTGGCCAATGGCTTACATGGTGAACACACTGCAAGCACCTCAACTAAATGGCCATGTCTGAAAGTCCTAGGGCAGCACTCCTTACTCGAGTCAAGCACGAACCCTTTGGTTGTAAAATGTGCATTTTGATAAGGCGAGATACCTCAATGTTCCTTAGCGAGGCACGACATTGACCTTTCAAAGTCTCCATACCAAACTGGGTCGGGGTATAACTTCATGGTGACTGATGTGAGGGCTCAGGAGTACCATTTGTGAAATTAGTTATTTTACTAATACCATCAAGGACAGGTACATCTGCAATAGACAGGTTAGTAAGGACAAGATTAAGTAGTTGTTTGTTGCCCCACCTGCTGCATGCCCAGTCTGGAAGAAATGTCCTTCAGGACCAGGCCAGCTCAGCCAGTAGTCGTGCTAACAAGCCACTCTTGATGATTGATACTGAATCCCCTCCACTGAGCCCAGCACCACAAATAGCATGCATTCTGTTTACTTGCTGTCCTTGCTTCTTCCCAATAGAGTTTAACATAGAGGAGCACTCAACTGAGGAGGACAGTCAGCAGGAGGGATCCCTGCTCATGCTTTGACCTGACGTCATGAAGTCAATGTTGAGATCTCCAACGGACACCTCAACTTGAAAATATATATGTAATATATATATTTATATATCACTGTACTGCCACCGCTAGTGGGACAGCCCTGACATTGAAGGGATCAAGAAAATGAAAGGTTAACACAGGGCTTTAGGTTTTAATTAGAGACTCAAAGCTGTACAACTTTTAAAATTAAAGAAAAAGAACATAGGGAACCATATCCGAAGTATTTATAATTCTGTAAAGTTTAAATGATACAGATTTAAATATACTCACATGAGTGTAGATTTTACATTAATAATCCTTAAATGCGCTGGAAATTTAAAATTAATGTTTTCCTGACATATAGCTAACTCCTACATGACAAGAAATCGTTGAAGAGATCAGTGCTGATGCCTCTAAAGGGAAATTGAGCAATCCTGCGAAGGAGAAGGGAATAAGGGGTTAAGGTGGTAGATTTAGATGAGGAAAGTTGAGAAGTTTCAAACACAGCATAAACACAAGCATGGACTAGTTGGGCTGAGTAGCCTGTACTTGCGGTGTATATCCTATCTGTTGCCATAATCCTGTATATGATAATGTGGAGGAAGCAGCTTCATATAAAAAACAGCTGCACAAATGCCCAGGTAAGAATGGAAATAGTGATTTCTCAGAGTTATAGGCTGAAATGATCAAATCTATGATATGGCACTTCTACGTAAAGAGGAAAAGCAAGGCTGATAAAGGAAATGTGAGAATGAATGAATGCACAGGCGTTTTGATCAACTGTTTTTAGGATCTCAGGAGTATTTGGAAGGAACTTGTGCTTGGAGGCAGAGGATGTGGGGAAGATCCTAAATGAGTACTTTGCATCAGTACTCACCCAGCAAAAGGACACGGAAGATAGTGAGATTTGTGTGGTGGATGCTAATATATACTACGGCATTTTGAGATAAAGAAAGAAATGGTGTTGGATCTCTTGAAGAGTATTAACGTGGATAAGTCCCCAGGGCATGGTGGTATCTACCCCTGGTTATTGAGACAGGCAAGGGAGGAGATTGCAGGGGCTTTGACCAAGATCTTTGTATCCTCGTTAGACACTGGAGACGTCCTGGAGGATTGACAAGTAACTAATATTGTTCCTTTGTTTCTGAAGGGAAATAGGGATAATCCTGGAAACTATAGACTATTAGAAGCTATTGGAGAGAATTCTTAGAGTTAGGATTTATGCATATTTGGAAAAGCATGGCCTAATTAGGCACAGTCAGCATGGCTTTGTGCAGGGCAGTCATATCTTATGAACTTGACTGAATTTTTCGAAGAGGTGGCAAAGGTAATTGATGAGGCTACAGCAGTGGATGCTATCTACATGGATTTTAGTAAGGATTTCAACAAGGTCCCTCCTGAAAATTAAGATGCATGGGATCCATGGTGACTTGGCCATGTGGATTCAAAATCGGCTTGCCCACAGAAGGCAGAGGGTAGTGGTGGATAGGTGTTTTTCACGCTGAAGGTCCATGACTAGTGGTGTTCTGCAGGGACCTGTACTGGACCTTTGTCGTTTGGATAAAAATGTAGATGGGTGGGTTAGTAAGTTTGCAGATGATACAAAGATCGGTGGAGTCATGGATACCATAGAAGGTTGTCAAAGGATACAGCTGGATATAGATCAGTTGCAGATATGGGCGGAGATATAGCAGATGTAGTTTAATTTGGGCAAGTGTGAGGTGCTGTATTTTGAGAGATCAAATGCTAAGGAAGAATATACAGGTAATGGCAGGACTCTGAACAGAACTGATGTATAGAGGGTTCTTGGGGTCCGCGTCCATAGCTCCCTGAAAGTGACCACACAAATACATAGGGTGGTAAAGAAGGCACATGGCATGCTTGCCTTTATTGGTCAGGAACAGAGTACAAGAGTCAGACTGTCATGTTGCAGCTTTATAAGATTTCACTTAGGCCACAGTTAGAGTACTGCGTTCAATTCTGGTTACCACATAACAGGAAGGATGTGGAGGCTTTGGAGAGGGTACAGAAGAGGTTTACCAGAATGCATGCCTGAACTAAAGGGTGTGGGCTATAAGGATAGGCTAGAAAAACTCGGGTTGAGCAGCAGAGGCTCAGGGGAGACTTGATAGACGTCTATAAAATTATGAGATGCATAAGTAGGGTTGACGGGCAGAACCTTTTTCCCAGAGTTGAAATGTCTAAAACTGGGAGCATGCATTTAAGGTAAGAGGGGTAAAGTTCAAAGGAGACGTGAGGGGCAAGCTTTTTACACATCAGTGGTAAGAGTCTTGAGTGCACTGCCAGGGCTGGTGTAGAGGCAGATACAAAAAGGGTATTTAAGGGACTTTTAGATAAGCACATGGACATGCAAGGAATGGAGAGATATGGACCAAGGGCAAGCAGAAGGAATTAGTTTAATTAAGTATCATGTTCGGCATAACATTGTGGGCCGAAGGGTCCATTCCTGCACTGTACAGTTCCATGTTCTCTATGTTCTATTTACATACAAAATCTTGCTCAGGAATGGATGAGGTAGAGTTAATATCAAGGCAGATTGTGTCTGCTAAATGGAAGAAACAGACAACA